GAGGAGGTCGAGGCAGATTTGTGTGCAGACGTGAAAGTTCGCCTGGACGTGTGGGCCCAGGGGCGTAAAGTTAGTGACTTGTTTCCTATATCACATTTCACAGCAAGACTTAGTTTTGCTTTTTATTCACTGACGTGAATCAACCGTGTGGCTCATAACCTTATGGAGCGAGATGGAAATCGATAGCTTGCTAATAACATCATTTGCATATGCTGAGCCACCTGCTCTAGAGTCCTCGCCCCTCACTGTGGATCACTCATCACAACACAGACATGGGGGTCCTATACCAGGGTGCTCAGACAGTTCCTCTAGGGGCTTGGGCTCTGGTCTTTCTACAAAGACCCCAGGATGTTTGCATGTGCTGCCAGGGGTGAAACACTGAGCTACTCTTTTCTTTTTTTTCTTCACCTCCTCAGGAACTCTGCATTGCCTTTTAAGTGAATTATAATTGTAACAGTTATTTGTGTGATTGTTCAAAGAATGGCTGTAAGTAAAGACAGTGGTCAGATCTGCTTTTACTCATGGCTGGAACACAGAAGCTATTCCACGAGGGAAACAAAACGGGATAGGTGGTAAATGGAAAAACAATGTGCCCGGGAGAGAGAGTAGATTGGTGGTGTCCTGGTAAACTCTAACAGTGATGGGGTAGTGTTGTGGTGTTTGCTCCCTTCTGTGGCATAAATATTCCCACCGTGGCTGATTTCAAGCTTGCAATGTGACGTCACCGAATGTGGAGTTAGGAAGGGATGTGTACAGTGGGCCCTCACAAGCCGGTATGCATGGTTCCATGCACCAGTGCAGGAAGAGACTTTCTTCTGACGATTATCCTTATTTGGAACAGATGCCTGAAGACATCCCCATTGTTTTCAAAGGAGAAGAGACCCTAATCTCCATGAGCATCCACCATGTGGAAGGTCTAAATTAAGTATTTGAACTACACTGGCTCATCTGATCCCCCAAAGAGCCTGCCATTTTGTAGATGAGGAAACGGAGTCTCAGAGAGGTTGAGTAACTTGCTCAGGGTCACACAGTTCATTAGCTGGTGGGGCCAGCTTTCAAACGCTGGTTCTTTTTACTACCGACCCTGATTCCTTCCACTACCCTCATCCCAGTATAATAGCGTTTTGAATCTTTTAACAAATGCTCTGAAAGCTAGCATTCCTGGGGAAGCCTGAGAAGGCACATGGGCCTGGGCATCTGCATATTCCCTGCCCCGGTCCTCAGGCCCCTTGCTTCTGACCATTATGAAGCCACTGCTGCTCATGGATAGTTGCCGGCCAAAGAGCCAGCTGCCTGGCTCTTGCCTCACACCCTGCCCCTCTTGCTCTGAGCCTGGAGGCACAGAGGGTAAGCTGTCAGCTTTGGGTCATAAAATCATTTGAATGAGTGACTCCAGCCCTGGGAAGAAGGAGAGTTAACCCATTTCTCCCCCTAATTTTTCTTAATTTTTACTTCTCATACATTATATCTTTAGAACCCACAGTGGCCCACTAACCTCTCAGAGACTTGGGGCAAGCCACTTTCCTTCTTTGGGTCTCAGTTTGCTCCCCTATAAATAGCAGGTAGACCAGATGGAAGGCTCCTGTATTCATCACAGATCCATGCCATCTCCCTATGAGGCTGAGTATACAGCAACAGGAGAAAAACAGGAGCTTAATATGTGTTGAAGAAATGTTTTAGATGTGCTCTCCTTTTGACCCCCACAACGGCTCTACATAGGACAGATCACTGTCGTTATGCCTTTTGTATAACTGGGGAAACCAAAGCCAGGGCATTTCTAGAAGCTGTTGGAGGTCCCCCAGTTGGTAAGAGGTGGAGGCAGGACTTGAATCCAGGCATCTGGATCCAGAGAGAGGCTCTTAACTTGTAGTCCTAGGCATCAGGGAATGGATGGAGGCTTGTATAAAGTGGAACCCATCCTTTTTGATGGAAGATTATGGCGTGCTAGAGGGTCATGTATGTCATAGGTATTCCGCAGATGGACCCAGAGGTGTATTGATAGAGCCTAGATCAAGAAGTGAGTCTGACACTCCCGGCTGGGAGTTTACATTTAGAGGGTGTAAGAAATAAGCGATTGTCCCTGTGACTTGGAGGCCTTGGCTGGGGGCGGAGGGGGGTAGCTGGCAAGTCTGCAGATTGGGAAAGGGCATGGCTACTGCCCAGGGTAATGTGAGAATTACCCTGAATGAGCTTCACTAGCAAACGGGTCCCCCTGCTCTCTGTCCTGGGCCCTGTCTCTTTCCTTCACGACACACACCATAACTGATTGGTTTCTTTATGTGTGTCTTACCCACCCCCACCCCAGCTGTAAACTTCCTGAGAACTCGGTGCCTGTCTAGTATATTGCTCAATGAAAAAAAAAAAAAAGTTACCTAGCAGGTGCCTGGCACATAGTTAAGCGTTTGCTTCATTTGGTTGAGTTCCTGAAGGTGTTGTCTGTAAAGTGCCTGGCACAGCCCAGGGAGGTGGCCGGGCTGTGCTTTTCCCCCTTTCTTCTGATGCTCTTGCACCTGCCCCGCCTGCCACACCCCAAGGCCTCCAGCCATGGTCCCTGCTGCCTGGACGGTGCCATGGAGGAAAGTATGACTTTGCAAAGCTGTTTGACAACAGAAGTGAGCCGCTGAAACTTCGAGGCCCCAGGGTTTCTGTCTGTAGCTCAGTTACCATAATGAAATAAGCCCCCTCCCTTGGTGGTTCTCAGATGGGAGGAAGTGGTTTGGACCCAGGGTACTTATTTCCTTCAGAACGCCTGGGGAGCTGAGAGGGAGGAAGTCGGTCACATGGTATGGCCTCAATGCATATTTATTAAGGAAAGGGAAGGATGGAGGAATGGATAGATGTACTCACAGGGCCCTCACTCAGCATGCTGACAAGAACCAAATGGTCTGGCCTGACGTGCTGGAAAGGCTTAATGAGAATTGTAAGCTCTAGCCTCTGCCAGAGCTGGGGGACATAAATTCTTGCTGAATGTCAAATGAAAACTGAAAAAACCCCAGCACCATCTATGAGTGCACGAAGCCGATTAGGGTTTGCCACAATGGAGCCTTACTAAGTCTTTAAAAAGACACCCTCCCCTTGGAAAGACATTGCCAGCTCCCAAAACTCAAGGGTGGGGGGAATTTTTTTTTCCCATTTTAGGAAAATGAGTTCCATTTGCTGCAATCCAAACCTACCCGTGTCTGTTACGGTTATATCACATGGAGAAACGAGCAGAAATAAGCATTCAGAAAAATCAGGGAATGTCCTGCTGCACAGCTGTATGATTTGATTCGCTGTGTATAACGCTGCCCGTTACCCACCGGTTCCCTAGAGATGCCCCGGGAACCTGACGTCCTCTCCTTGTCTGGGTTAGGAATGCTACCAGCTAGCTGCTGCTGAGAATTCAGCATCTCCTATATATGGTAGTTAATTTAAACTTCTTACAAACATACAAGGTCTTTTTTTATGAGGAGGAAAATACGACTCAGAGAGCCAAAGGGGCATGTTCAGAGTCACATAGCTCCTTGGTGGCTGACCCAGAATGTTGACCAGGTATAGCTAATGACATCAGTGATTTTCCATGAAGCCGTCTTGCTGCCCTGACTCTAAGATCTGTTTAAGACACAGAAGTCTAGATAGATTTCAGTCTATGTCATAGGTTTTTAATATTTTTCTTATACTTTTCAGGACACATAAACACTCTTGAATGGCATTCTTCTAACTGGAGAAAATCGTTTGCAAAGGGTTTTGCCAGAACTTTGATTAAGGCTTACCTCCCCAGATTTATAGGTTTGCGGCTCAGCGTCTCATAGCAAACCACAGAATGACAATTTGCAGACTATGGGATATATTTCTCTGAAAATGAAGAGCACTGCTTTAGTACACACTTTTGTCCTTCATGCACTTGTTGTAGCTGAGACTCTCCCCTCCCTCACCTCAGCCCTCGGAGCCCTTAGCGCCTCTCACCATCTGTATGACTTTACGCAAATTACTCAACCTCTCTGAGCCTCATTTTCTCCTTTGCCAAAAGCACGTAATAATCAAAACCTTGTGGTATTGTTCTGAGAACTGCAGGAGAATAACTCTTCACTCAGTGCCCCTCCCCGGCCACTCAGCATGGCAGACACCATCCCTTTGCACATACGTGCATGGCCCCAATTTAGGGCACTCTGAGGCCAAAGCCCAGGTCGTTTTCCTCACATTAGGCTCTCTGGATGTGTTGGCACCTAAAAGAATGTGAAGTATGCCACATTCCTTAGGGAATTCTAGCTCTCCAAAATCTCTTCTAATTCTAACCTTCTAGGTCTTCCGAATTTGTATACCTCACCTATTTGCCTTTCCTTTAATCCTACCCCTGCCACCATACACATACCTCCTCCTCTGCTTGTTGTTGCTTATTACTATGGGTTATCATTGGCTTCTTCCCAAAGATCCAAACACCCGAACTCCTGGAAGCACTACTGTGATTGGTCAGCCTGCCTGGGCCCCTTGCTCCTTTTAGATGTCATGACTCCCTGTGGATAGCATTTATTGAACAACTACTATGTGTTTGAAACTGGCCTGGCTACTTTGCATATGTTAGCTCATTTCATCTGCCCAGTACTGAACTGGGCACCTTTATTCCCACTTCACAGGGGAGAAAATGAAGGCCTGGAGAGGTTTAAACATCTTGCCCAAGGACATACAGCTAGGAAGACTGAGAGCAAGCAGGAGTTGCCCTTAGTACGAAGCCTGCTATATGCCAGGCTATCGCTCCTTAGCTAGAAAATCTCCTCTGGCAGGAGCGTCCCTGGTCCAAGATCCCCAGCCCGTCTTGCCATATGTAATTCTGCATCGAATATTCACTGAACAGCTACTATGTGCTGGGCGCTGGGTTAGGTGTCGGCCTCACTCGAGATGTTGCCCTGCCTCATCTCTCGCAGAGTGCTTTCCTATCCCCAGAAAGTCAATGCTCTGCCAGTTGTGGGTCTAAGAGTCTGAGGTTTCTCCCCGCCCAGCCCCTGCCATGTCCCCTCTGATACCTTCAAAAGCTGGGCATGGTCTCCCCTGGGAGTAGCTGCCAAGGGCCTGCCAGGAGCGCCGTCACCGTCTCTCTATCAGCTGCTGCAGCTTCGGCACAGTGAGCAGGTTGCCAGGCCTCCGCGGGTGTAGAGAGACCCAGGCTATCAAGAAGAACAGCAGTTGCTAAACCGGCCACACACTTCCTCTGCTAGAAAGGAGGAAGGCGCGCGGGACTTGCAGAAGGGCAGGTTCCTGTTTTTAGTAACCACTCTGAGCAGGCTTCTCTCTGTAAGGATAGGGAAGACCGTGGCATTATTAATTTTTTTTTTTTTTTTTTTTTTTTTTTTACAAAGCACTTGGGAATATGTGCAGCTTGATTCTAAATGCCTGGGCCATGCTCAGGCTTTCAGAGGCTGGGACCTTTTTCTCTAATTTAAAGGCAGGGGAGGCTGAGAGGCTGTTCTCACACATCCTCAGAGTTCACTGGGTCCAAGGAGGCTGGGGCTCAGGCCGGCAGCTTGTCTTTTCTCAGTTTCCTGGTTATGACTGCTTTTTTATGTCCCTGCGAAGGGGCTCTGGGGCAGAGCTTCTGCCTGGGCTCTGCCACAGACAGTGTTTAATTAGCAGAGGTGGGAAATAGTAGGGCATCCAACCCGCTACAGAAAGAAGCTGCCCACCAGCCTTCTGGGGCAAGACAGGCAACCCCTCTGCTGTGCTACAGCCAGAAGAAACTAGGAAGGATATGAAATGTAGTCAGCTTCCCTGCAGGTTCTAGAGTAAAATTGACTAAGGAAACATGGCGACTGGGCGCAGTGTGTGATGCTTGGCTGGCTCCTGAACTGAGGGAAAAGACTTAGAAAGAACATTCTTGGGATGGAGATAGGCGGGGTATTCACATAGATACCACATTGTAGATAATATTGTGTCAGTGTTAACTTTTGGGGCATGATAATGACACCGCAGTTATGTGGGAAAATGTGCTGGTTCTCAAGGAGATACATGCTGATGTATTTGGAGGTCAAATGTCACGATGTCTGCAACTTTCAAATGGTTCGCTAAAAGAAAAAGAACTATAAAATACAAATGTAAATAAATATAAATCAAGAAAAAGACAACGAGGGCGCCTGGGTAGCTCAGTCGGTTAAGCATCTGCCTTCTGCTCAGGTCATGATCCTGGGGTCCTGGGATTGAGTCCCACATCGGGCTCCTTGCTCAGTGGGAGACTGATTCTCCCTCTCCCTACTGCTCCCCCTGCTTGTACTCTCTCTCTCTATCAAATAAATAAATAAAATCTTAAAAAAAAAAAAAAAGACAACGAGAGAGGCAGAAAGCAAACGTGGCAAAATGCTAACATTTGCTGAATCCAGGTGAAGGGCATATGTGCCTTGTACTATTTCAACTTTCTGAGGGGTTTAACATTAAAAAAATAATAATATATAGTTCCCCATTCATAGTATGTGTGTCCCCATTCATAATATATGTGTCTTTCCATAGTGTGTGGGAAAGCTCAGGCACATGGGGGCTAAGGGCTTGTTGGTGGCGGGGCTGCTGGTGAATTACCTGCCGGGGCTGGGATGTCCCTCCGAGAGCCCCGGCTGGCCCCCTACTTCACAGAGACGACAGAACAGAGGGTCCAGTGACTATCCCCGAATCCCACAGCCGGTCCCAACGCAGACCCAGGACCAGTGCCCAGGGCTGGTGACGCGCTGCCCCAGCCCGGCAGGATCAACACCGTCACCGGGGGACAGTCATTTAGAAACTTCACTCAGTGCACTTGTCAAATCTATCGAAAACATCAGGGCCGCTTCTAAACTTGGAAGGAACTCGGTCCTAGATAGTTGCTTCCTTAGGCAACTTGTGAAAATACCCACTGTCTGCAGAACAGCCCAGGAAGGCACAAAGGAAATGCTGAGAAAGATTCAGATGGGGAAGAACGGAGGGGCAGAAACACACCAGAGTGGAGTTTCCCCCCCATATTCACACAGAGGAGTAAAAGAGGTTTGGGAGGGGGGCTGCTTCCCCCAAGTGGCTGGTGGCAGGGCGGGTGGCCTGGCTGTGGAGGTGCCATTAGCTGAGACCCAGCCTGGGACGAGCCAGGGCCAGAGAAGCAGGAAGAACTTGCGGCTTGGCGCAGACTTTAGGGGTCCGGAAAGCTCCAAGTCTGATGGCAGAGGCAGGCAACAGACAGACAGGGGACCACAGAGGGGTCTGCATTAGAGAACACAGTCCACGAACAGGAGAAGCTGCTGCAGAAGGAGAAGCTCCCTGGTGGCCGGGATTGCAGTACCTACTCTGCCTGTTTTGAGTGGGTAAATGAACTGGGGGGGCGGGGGGGGGGTAGGCGGGGAAGGTGCCATCAGCTTCCCCTGGCTCTGGTGTTTCTTTATCTCCTTCTCACTCTGGGGGGTAACTGCCAGGAAACAGAGGGAGATTGAGAAAATGTTCCCGAAACCACCAACTCTGCCGCACGGGAGCTGAGCTGTGGCTTAAGCAGTGAAGTGCGGAGGTGGGAGGCCTAGGCCACTATCAGCAAGAGCAGGGGTGAAGCCAGGGCAAGCAAGCGCCTATGTGCAAGTCTTTATAAGTGACCCTGACTTTGGACCTCTTTTTCCAGTTTCGCAGCGGATTCTCAACCTCGGCCCTGTGGATATTCTGGCCAGACCGTTCTCTGCTGTGTGTGTTAGTGGGGGAGGGCGGGGGCTGGGGGGGGAGTGAGGGGGAGCTGTGTTGTGCCCTATAGGATATTCAGTAGCATCCAGCCCCTACTTACCTGATGCCCGTAGCACTGACCTCTGCCAAGTCGTGACCACCAAAATGTCCTAGGCAGGCGTCATCAGATGTGCCCTAGGGAGCAAAAGTGCCCCTGACTGAGAACCACTGAGTTACAGCTGTCCCACAGAGGTATGGGAGCGTTGAATAAGGCAACCTGAGCGATGTTCTCTCATGAATTGCAGATGCCGCTCAGTTTAGCAAACTTATGGCAATTGCAGAATTCTTACGTGTCCAACCTGTCCTGGGAACATGAACAGGGAGGGAATAATCAGATGCGGCATGAGTGGGGCTCCATCCTTCCCTGCCCTCAAGGAATTTCTGATCTAGTGGAGGAAAGAGACACACTGTCAAAACCCCAAGGGAATATAAGAAAGATGCCGTTAGGGAGGGAGCCCGGAGAGGCGTGGACTCCTGGTTACATGGGCACCTGGCGGTAAGGCGTGGCGGGACCCGATTAGATTGTTGGCGTTCATGGTCACTGATGTTCTGAGTCAGCACAAGAGACAAAGACATAAAAACATGTGGCAGGTGATGCCCCCACCAAGGGCCTCAAGTGTAAGTATAGGGTCAGCTCCGGCCTGGTGACAGTGTGTCAGGAGGCCACACTTGAGGGCTCAGAAGGACGCTCAAGCCCATCTTTGTAGAAAGCACCTAACTTCTGGAAGGGTTTGCCAGTTAATTAGCTATTAGGTCCCAGGATAATGGCCCAAAGCAGATTAGCAAGATGCCCTCACAGGCTGATGATTGCTCTATTAAGTATGAGGATGCAGTCATCACCTAATTGAAATGGAATGTTCCACCATGTTCTTAACATTGTCAGGAGCCAGGTGTTACATTCCCCAGTTGGGGGACTAGCAGGCCTCTCAGCCCAAGCACTAAGAAGCCCATTTCTCCAGCTTTGGGTTGCAGAGGGGCCCTAGGTCCTAGAAAGTTAAGGTGACCCAGCATCATATGGCAGAGTGGGATATGTAAGCCCCAAGGTTTACAGCTTGGTCCAGGATTAGCAGACTCCCGGTTCTACTCAAACGTATTTTTTCTTCTTTCCCCATAAATGAAAGGTTCGAAGATGAGAAAGGCCACCTCGGGAACTAATCAGCTCCCTCTCAGTGTAGACGGTCAAGTGTAGGTTGGCCCATTTAGTAGGGAAGTTGCATGAGCATACGCTCGGTACCATCAGACTGTCAAGAGGATTCTCTGTATTTAAAAGGGTTAAACCATATGACCTTCAAGATCCCATGTAAACTAGAAGTTATCTGTGGGCCAAGTTTATGCCCCTCCCAGAGCTGGGTAAGTGACTCATTTGTTCATTCAACCATTCATTCAACAAATATCTGTTGAGCACCTTCTGTGTGTTAGGTGCTGTGCTAGGGCTGAGTTAGCGACGTGAACAGTTAGTAGCACAGACAACACCTGATGGAATGGGGACAGGAAAGGGAACTCTCGCCTCGGAAGAGAGTTTTGAAATGAACCCAGAATGACGCCAATGTGAAGATCAGGAGGAAGAGCTGTTGGGGAAATCACAGGGCAGGGAATGCTTGCAGTGTTCAGGGACCAGAAGGGAACTGATGTTTTGGGAGTGCCAGGAAAGAGACTCGGTTCTTGTTTACAGGCCCTATTTATTCTTCCTAAGCAGTCTGTATGTCTAGACCTCACCTGAAGAGACTGAGGTTCCTAGGGTTTAACTTGCTTGCTCTACATTAACCAGCTGATGAGAAACACCACCCAGGTCCTGCTCAATAGCTTCTGGAGGTGAGCTCACTGTCACTCTTATGCTGCCTCCCAGAGGGACTTCCCATGTCCCAGTGCTTCCCTCACAGCTTTCCATCCCTGTGTCCTCCTCCAGCACTTGCTGAAGACTGCTGTTTCCCACAGGACCAACGTCATCCCTTTTCCTGGCATTCAGTGCTCGTCACATTTGTTCTCTACCCCCCTCCCATGGCAACATCACCGTTCAAGGCCTTAATGTGGCCTTGAACTACAAGAACCTTATGTGGCCCTCTGCATGTCCGACAAGCCTCCCGCATCTTCACCATGAACTTTGACACTGCCCTTCCCCTACCTGTGTGGGATGCCCTCCCTCGTGCAAGACCCAACCCAGAGCTCACCTTGTTCTTACATATTTCCAGACCTCCCCCAACCAAAGATGATTGCTCCCTCCTCAGAACACTCCTTAGAGTATTAACTGCTCACAGGAATAGGGCACATGCATATGGAAGTCAAGAGTAAGAGAAGGAGTTCAAGGTATTTGGGAGATGTGTGACCTCGCCCAGGTATTATTAATCCCGTCGCCTTCAAAGGACCGAGGGTCCGCAGGACAATGTGTACAGACTACCTAGCACAGTGCAAGGCACATACATGAATGTCTCCCTTGCCCTTCAAAG